TATAATATACCGTTACGACCGCGATTATCCGAAATAAAAAAAAGTGCGCGAGTTTTTGGTTTTAAATCGTGACCGTTTGGGAATTTTATTCGGAGTTTAATTTACGCGGAAGAGAGATTTAATTCAAGACGGCATCTTTCCGTCTTCGATTACGTGCAATTACACGTTTGTAAAAAAATCTTATAAGCTTACCTTTATATGTACCTTTATATCTTGATTGGTGTTGTACACTAACCTACCTTGTAAGATTCTCTTTGTCTTTTTTCTTCTGGCCAAATTGAATCTACCTTTTGTAATACCTGGCCAATATTCTGGCTTCATATAGCCAGAGGTCGACAACAAGGAGAAATACTCTTTCTGCTGCCGGCTAATCATTGCCAACAATAAGCGTAAGATTTTACGCTTTTCTGATGCGCGAAACACGAACGCGTCGCGAAGAGGCTATCCCGTTAATCAAATTAATTAAGTACAAAATTCAAGGCACGACGACGAGCCCGGCGTTGTACCGACTGCCGGAGAGCACTGAAGGCGCGACCCTGACCCCGGCCAAGTATCGGCGTATGCGACATCAAATCGCGTCTAGCGTCGAAGAGACTAGACCGAGTCTCGAACAGCAACGCCAAGACTCGACGTCCTCGTCGTCGTCGAGGAACGATTCGTCATCGGCTAGCGTTCTGTCCGAGAATAGCATCAGCGAGAGCAGGCTGAACGAACACCTACTGCCGATCCATCGGATCTTGGAAAACTCTTGGACACTGGTCAGCGAGGAGTCTCTGTGCAGTCAACTTGCGATTGACAGAACTATTCCCAATCGTCTTCACGGCACTAAACCTGATCTCTCCCAGGAACAGAGCGCTGCGAGAAGCAGTCGGCAGGACAACTATATGTAAATATCTTCGACGGCGTCGTGGCGAAAGCGGAGGATAAATCGGAGAAATCGAGGCAGGCCTTCAAGAGGCATTCCGAAGAGGCGGTACTTCATCACGGTACTACGAGGCTTCACGTGAGTCAAAAAGCGAAGGATGTTTCTCAGGGCGACAAAAAGAACCGCTGTTTCAAAAACGAGAACGCGCCTAAGTTGTCTAGCAAGTCGACCAGCTCGAAGACTCAAGGATACGCGGACGGCAAGGACAGAGGTCTTCGGTCTTCAAAGTGCCAAGGACGATTCTAAATCAGACGTTCTAAATCGCGATCGTTCTGACAAACCTGAATGTGAACGGCCCGTGCAAGTACCAAGACTTCACGGGCACGAACACGATAACTAAAGCCCCTTGATTTGACTGTGGTTTGTAGTAGTATTTCTTACGCTGAACAAAAAATTATATAGGTTTTATAGGGCTAACTGCTTTAGTTTTCGAAATATGCAGTATTAAAGCTCAAAATAAATATAATATAAATCTTTACTTGGTAACTGTATAGATGGGGGGACCACCTTGGATGACTTTGATATTTTAATATTTTGTCAAGGTCACCCTTCTGAGTGACTTTCAGAAGGTTTCAGCCCGCGCTCGTTATTCGTTAAAAAGTTATTAACAAAAAAGTTTGGAAAATTAGAAAAATATAGCAGCTATTTTGAGTATTGGAAGGCATAAATGACTAATATTACGTCTTTTTTTTTTTAAGTAGAGAATATCTCGTTTCGCATGAAAGTTGCTGCTTTGCCAAAACACAACATTTAAAGCAGTAAATTGTTGATAAATTGAGGTCTTCTTGTTAAAGCAGAGAATACTTTATTTCGCGAGAAAGTCGCTGCTTTACCAAATGTAGGTTAGTGACGCGCTTTAAACAGTTAAATACTTTTAGGTTTTGGTAAAGCAGCGACTTTCTCGCGAAATAAAGTATTCTCTGCTTTAACAAAAAAACCTCAATTTATCAACAATTTACTGCTTTAAATGTTGTGTTTTGGTAAAGCAGCAACTTTCATGCAAAACGAAATATTTCATATAGACTTTTAAGCGAGCTCTCTGCATTCGCGATCGGAATATCGTACAAGTTAGGCAACGTTGTCAATTAACTGAAAATTAGATCTTGTCATTATTTTATTGCCCTGCTAATGAAAATCTCTAAAATACTTTTAGATTTACATACAAACGCGACGCACTAACAGTTAATCGCTCCATATATTCGTTGTAATTTCTGTGATATGTTGATGTTCTGTGGAATTACCGCGTGTACATATACAAAACATTTCTCGTATATAACATATACAGACAGTTCCCCACCAAATTATCACAATCGCAGGAAAAAGAATTATTTCGGTATTAAAGGTAAGTAAATCTTTTCATATAGCAATATAAAAGTAGAAAAATTCTTATCTTTTATCATAACAAATATCACATATATAACTTCAAAGTATCGCCGCAAGTCAAAATATGTAATAAAAGATCAAAATACCTTATGAGTCAGCATGACAATTTACAAAGAAAAAAAATTTAAAGAATTGGAAATTTCGAATTTCACATTGTATAGATTTTTACTTGATTGGTAGTCACAAAGTTTCTACATTGACGTCCATATCTTGGGGGCGTTCGGCGTATCAACAGCGTCGAGTTTCACGAACTCGGCGATAATTAAACTAGTACTATATAATGAACAAAATTAGTCGACTCGAAATCGTTGGCTCGTAACGATCAATATGAGAAT